GTAAAATAATGTCGACCGAAAAATTCTTTCGTGAGCTATGTGGTGTTAAAAGAAGAGGAGTAAGAGTCTGTCAGATCTGTACCCTAGGGCGCTCTCCCTCATAATTGGGAGGGAACTGAACGACAATCAAAGTATCACCTACTACAAGGTGCCCAAAACTTAAGCAAGCAAGTTTCGGTTTATTTTGATTATGGCAGAGCACTCGAGGGCTATCCGTCTAAGGGAAGAGATGCCTTCGTCCAAAACCTCCAAAACGGGCCCATGCAACTAGCCCGTTTGCGGGGATTCGAACCACGAACCGAACTAACAGTGTTCAGCAATTTTTAACGCTTAACCGTTCAAGGGTCTTTCGAAGCGAACAGGGGCGCTTACTACGTCTTGGTACCATGAACTCATGAATTAGATCCATCCATAGATAAAAGGATAAAAAATAACCAAAAGTTGGTACTTTTAAATCTATATACTTAAAAGGAAAGAAGCAGGAAGGGAAAAAGTCCGTTAAAGGATCTGCGAAGAATTTTGGCAAAGCATTATAAGCTTATCGGCAGTTATGTAAATTTCTTATTTATTGTACCAAAAGGGAAACATTATTAATAGAAAATACTCAAAGTAACTAATATATAATAATATAGCAATTTGAATGAAGTAGTATTGTACGAGAGAGATTCTCATTTAGAAAATTCGTACTATTCGGTTCGAGGGCCGGCCGTAAAAAATGCCAAACTAATAATTGGCGGCTGAAAGAAGCGGGAAAAGGAAATAATAGTAAATCACTAAGGTTAAGTCATTTCATTTATATTTTATTATTATAATTTATATGAAAAAGGCTAAACATGACTGAATGGAAGCATAAGAGTAAATAACTATTTCAGATCATTATTATAATTTATATAAAAATTGCTAAACATAACTGAATGGATGCCTGCATCGCTATTCGCTACCCGACTTATCGCTAAAGCATAATTTCATCTCGTTGTTTGTTCAAAACGTAATTTTTATAATGAATGATGCCTTTTCTTTGAAAATATTCTCGGTAAAGTGCAGAATCGCTCACTTATTTGTTTGCCGCTTTTTACAAGGGTTAAAAACAATTGAATTTTTGTCAATTTTCTTTTACTTTTTAAGTGAAAATAGTCGATTGTGAATAAAATAGATAGAAAAAGCCAAGGGTGGTGCGCAGTGCCATTTTTGTGCAATTCTGGGTTTTTTTTTTAAAGTGAAAATAGGTCGATGTGCACATGGATACCGAGTATGTGCAATTCTTAAAAACGCGTCAAAGAATGGGGGATTCTGCACTTACCCAAAATTCTATTGCCGACTTTTCGTCATGGGCAATTCCCAAATTGTTAAATCCATAGGATATTAAAAAGGGATTTAAAATCAAAAAAAGGATTTAAAAATTAAACTAGTATTTCAATGGCGTCTTAAGAAATATAGAACTATATAAACTTACGCAATCTGAAATCAGCGTGTACGCTAGATTTGACGCGCTGTTCAGTATCAGTATCAGTATCAGTATTAATCTTGCCTTTTAGACAAGAAGAAAGATGATGAGGACTTTGGCAAACGCTGTTTCCTCCCATTCGTGAGGCTTAATATTGAAATTAACAACAAACGTTTTTACAAATTTTTATTAAACATATACAAACATCCATGCCTCTCCGGGATTAACCCGGACCTTCGGCACGGTAGTCAGCAACGAACCACTATAACGGTGGGCGGCAACGCTGTTGTGTTTGAATGGGGCGCGTTTGCTAGATTTGGCGCTTTTGCGCATACATTTTCGCTGCCATTTTTTACGGTCCTCAAAACGGAATAGTACCGAAAACTCCCGTAAGCGTAATATTCACGTTTCCGTTAAAAATGAATGTTGTTTTACATGTTTTTTTATACTTAAAAAATTTTACCTTGAAAATATGAATGGCAACACATCGGTGCTTAGAGATGATAATTATTCTATTTGAGGGAATGGCAACACATTGCTTTTAAACAGCCCAGTTTGAAAAGTAATATCAAACACTTTTCGGAATGGCAACAGTCTGGCCCACTGGCGGTAAAAATACTTTATTTTGAAGTGTTGCCACTGCTCGCTTTTAGGTCGCTGATGTCGTTTAATTTGTACAAAATGTGAAAGACCGAAGCAATCAAGTTTTGGTTTATATCGGTCAAAAACTAATTCGAATATAAAAATTTGTGCTTCGAAATGCCCATGATCGGGTGCTACATGTATTAAATATTTGGTGGCTATAGGTAACATCGGTTTTTTTCACAATGCGAGGAACAAACATAAGGATTCTACATTATTTAAGTTTTTTTTTTTTTTTTTTTTTTTTTTTTTTTTTTAAATACTACATCACGATTGCATTTGATGGCAACAATCTGAAAAATAATTCGGAAACAAAAGTGGAATTCCTGACTAAGAGCATCTTCTGCTAAAAAAAAGGGGGGGGATATTACGATGTATAAAGTCATTTAAAATTCCTAGTACGTTATTTAGTACCTCACAAATCAAATTTCCGCTATTTAAAATTTTAGCTTCAAACTAATTTGTAATAGCTCCTTTTCAACGGAAGATAAAAGTACATGTTTTTTGCTGGACGAAAATTCCCTTAACTATTTTCACTTTCATTGCTTAAGCAATAGATAATATTCTTTATCGTTTTATCATCTGGACATTTTTAATTACTGTTGGAGAGATTTTAAATCAACCAGCTTCATACAACCGTGTTGTTTTGTTCTTAAGAGATTTATACTACATTTTAAAATTAATGCAGAGAAATAAACAACTTTCATTACTTTTTCAATGTCTCCTAAACAAAAGAATGCTGTGTAATAAAAATCTCTCATTGATCTTATTTCGTTACTGGTATTTTTGTGTTACTAGAGATATAGCTTTTGAGAAATATTGGTTGCTTATATTGGTGTAAGTGCACTGTTTTTAATCAAAATAAGTGAAATTTTTATTAATATTTTGACACTTGCATATATGAAATTCGTAAAATAAATTATTCGTATACACACAAGTACAAGATTGGTAAATTCACGCCGTTTTTAACCAATAAGTTAGTGCATAATGGTAACCAATAGTATTGTAAACAAAGCCAATTTTTTTTTTTTCTCATTTTCAACCTTCTTGCGTAAAACGTGGTCTGCTTCATTGGGTAAAGCCACGTGTGGCCTACTTGCTTAAGAGGAAGAAGGCTTTCGTGGAGGATTTTGTAAAGGAAGCTGGCTCATATTCGCGTTACACATGAAAAAAAGCCACGAAAGCGTCCACACAGCCAGCTGATTTGCTTGGATTTGCAGCATGCAGCAGCTTTACCGCTTGGCTGCTGGTGAGTACCATAATAAAGTGAAAAACTTATTAAATAAAGATCTTTATTCAGTTGCTTAGTCATACTTTTTCAGCATTCTGTTAACATTAATTTAAGAGTTACACAATTCTGATATCACCAAATTGCGTGAAATCCAGGATCTACCATTTTGTTGTCCCTTCGCATAGATTATCTTTGCCATGTATCTTTTCTCGATCAGCCAATCAGTTTCCTTCACTGACGGCTGAGAAATAAGAGAACGGGAGAAGCCAGCAAGAGAGAGAGAGAGAAAGAGGCAGACTGACAGTTGAAGTTTGCTTTGTTTGCGATTACTTCTGTAGGGTGTTCGCACCTGAGTTTGAGTTTTAGCCGGTGTAATTTTATAAGCTGTTACTGATGTCAACTGAAGAATATATTTAATACATTTTATATACATTTAGAGATACATTAAAGCTCCAGGTTGTAGACATAAATTCTTTTCCGAAATTATTTATTGTAGCTGCGAAGTGAAATTTAAATTTCGAAGGAAACCCATTTTAGAATGAAAAAATGTCCAAGGTATAACTCGAGTTTCGTTTTCCAAAGTCTAACTAGAGTTCTAACGTTGTACAAACTGTAACAGTAATTTTTTATAGATTTTGGGGTCCATTTTTCAATATATATATATATATATAATATACCCAGATATATTTCATATATCAATATATATATATATATTATATTGAGACCAGATAGGTCTTACGTCTAATTACCAGTTAGCTTTTTCAATTTTTCTTTTTTCAATTAATTTATTTTTTCCTTTTTCAATTAATTATATATATATATATATGTAAGATGAAAAAATGGAACTAAAACTGCCTCGACTGTCAAGTTTTTTAGATATTACCAAATCAACATATTAGCGTACTAAGCAAACAGAATTCTTCCTCTTCAATATGGATCTAATAGCTATTACGCATTAGCAGTGTTCCGGCTTTTCCTTGCTTTTATTATATCACATATATATTCATATTGTAGAGTCATTAGGTTATTTTAAAGGAGTACATTAAAAATGTGCAATAACATCCCTGGGACTCGAATCTGCACCTCTTGAATACGCGCCTTTACACCAGGAACGCATGCTGGAATGAGGGAGAAAATAACTTAATAATAATGTAACTAGAAACATCGTCTTGGGATATTCTTTGCTATGTAGACGGAGCTTGTGATGGACTGTAGCCTTGCTCACTAATTTAATGTGCCATTTGCCTGTTTTTAATCATCATATTTAACTCTATTGACTTAACATCACTGAATATTAAGAAAAAGTTGACTGTTGGGTTGGAACAATCTCGTATTTCATTCAGTCGTATTTCCTGTTGCTGTTGTTTCTCATCCCCGTGACCAGCAGAACTAGATCGGGTCCATGACCCCATTCACCCTGAAAGAGTCCAATACAAAAAGGGGGTCTTGAACCAGATCATGTCTGGTAAGCCCCAGACAAGATAAAGTGTGATCGGAAGAGGCCTGTGCGGTAGAACACTTAGTGCATATTTCAAAGTGTTTATTACCACCGGCAAAAGTCATTTATAACAGATGACCACTAAGGAATCTAGTAAGTGCAGTTTGATCTCGTCTATTGCTGCTCCGAACCAAGGAGCCACCAGAGCACTTACTCCGATACCATGGGTGCACTGGTAGGACCATTCAAACGGCCTTACTCTTTGCCTTACATTTAGAAAATAGTTTCATATGAGTAAGGGGAGCAGCAGGCGTTGTGGTCTCGCTAGCACCAGCTCTAGCTAAGCTGTCTGCAATTTCATTTCCAGCAACGTCGACATGGGACGGAATCCACTGAAAGTGGATTTGATAAGAAAGGGAAAGTTGTTTTAGTTTCCTGAGAATGTCTCCACATGTATTATCCCTCACATTATGCCAATCAGGCAAGTGCTGGACGGCACTTCTACTATCCGAAAATATCCAGATATCTTTTAACTGAGGAAGCCACATGATGGAGTTCAGACCCTCCAAAATTGCAATAAGCTCGCTTCGAAATACCGAGCAGAAATCTGGATTTCTTCTTTGAATTTTTATTTCTTGATCCCGACATCTAATATAAATGCCACTGCCAGAACTGTCATTAACAAGTTTATTGCCGTCCGTATACATCGTATTTCCTATGCAAACTGACAAGACCAACTCAAGAATAAAAGTCTTTCCCAGGAAACTGTTTTACGATCTAGTTAAGAAATCATCACACACCTCACGCACTGTGAAAATCTATTTCATTTTTTCCTACGTGAGTGTTAGTCTTGATATCTAACTTGATTTGTCGTCGCGGTATCTGAGTTTTTATTAACCATTTTATACACTCTTCAATGCTATATATCATTTGGTTGTGGATCTACTAAAACAATGGCTGCTTCTTCTAGTCTCATCTCCATTACTAAATAATGAAGATGCTGTATTTATATATGTATGTAAGTACTTACATATACATACTTGTTCCTCTCACTGGGGAAAAACGGCTATTATCTACAGTCACAAAATTTTACTTACGCAGTCGTCCATCCGAACATGTGCATACTGAAATTAATTTTAATTAACTAATTAATTTTTAATTAACTAATTAAATTTCGGACTGAAGTCCGAAATTTAATTTTTAATTCTTCGTTTTTTAAAATTTGCTATAATTTATGCAAATTTGATGGTATGTTGAGTAACAAACGCAGTTATTTAAAAGCGAAGTTAGTAAAAAGTTATTTAAAAGCGCAGTTATTTAAATTTGAAATATTTATATTTAAAATTTAATCAGAGGACTCGGCGATTTAAAAGAAATGTGTTGCCATTTGGCAAAGCATAGGATATTTATCTTTCAGATTCAGCGATTTCAAAGAAATGTGTTGTCACTGCTCGCAATAAAATATTTTATGCTTCATCTACTAATATGCTGCCATTCAGCAAAGCATAAGATATTTATTTTTCTTTTAAATGCAAGCTCTCCGTTATTGATTAAAAAACTAAGCGATCAGCGATTTAAAACCGATAAACATAGTTCTTCATCTCTATATTACTACTGATTACTGACTAAATCCGTGAAGTTACATTGACTTATTAAAATAAATACATTTTTTTCTTTTTTATAATGACTATTTTAGGCAGTTGTCTGCCGTGTAACAAATAAGCAAGACTGTATTACTCTCTTCACGGGAATGCTATATTATGAATTACGATTGCGATGGCCTTCTCATGTCACTCACTTTCTTAATTAGTGCAAAGCAACGACATAGATTTTGATTTAAGATCTGCGTAATTATCCTAACCCATAAGCATATTATCTCAAGCAAAGGAACGAGTTGGTATAAAAACTATCTCAGCGAGAAATAATTTCTTACAAACAACTGAACATATTACCCAACGTCTCTGCCTATCAGTGTACAAAATCATTTATCATATTGTGTGAATAAAAAGAAAAAATTCAAGGTCATTTTCGTATCTAATTTTTGGGGGGAGTGTTTTATATACGTGGGAGAGGGGAATTTTCCACAGTGCTCAATATTTTGCAGCGTAAAGTAAAGTGAACTTAATCAGCATTATATTTACCAAAATATTCCATACTCAGTATAATGAGTATATGTGCTTAAATATATTTATTTCTTGGCAATAAAGGTGTTCATATATAATCAGTGCGAAAATTGCACAAAGAAGTAAAATGCAATAATGTTAATAGAAATGTGCCAATTCATAGAAAGTACTAGTCATTTTAGTTTAAGCACACAATAATAATAATATGAAGATGAAAATGATGATGATTATGAAGGTGATGATGAAAAAAAGAGTGATGATGAAAAAAAGAGTGATGATGAAGATTTTTTTACCGTCTGAAGTAAAACTCCTGGCAGAGTTCTCATAGTTTTCTCCATGTGTAACGTGAATATGAACCAACCCCCATAAAAGTTCTCCATGAAGGAATCCGTTCCATAGCCCTCCTATGCATCGTTTTTATCAATTAATCTATGACAGCTTCCATGAAAACGTAGTAATATGACGTCAAGAAACTTTTATGAATGCATTTTAGTAGACCTTTTTATTATAGGTATGAGTTTCTTTCATGCTTTTCATTCATTCTTGCTTAGAAGAATTCTTAAATATTTTCATGTTGAGAAATATAATTTAAATTCAAAAGTATTGATGGATCTCATAGGTTTATAACAACAGGTAACTGCTTATTGCAATAGCCCATCAGAGCATCTTGCGCAGTCATTAAGTTTATTTCGAAGCAGAAAACATGAAAAAATCAGCTATGGCATCGCCGGATTCGAACTTCGGGCTTCTAGCCGCATGTGTTTCCAACTACGCCACGGAGGCATGCGGTAAGGTAAGAGAAAATTCCTTACATTTTCCCCCACTTAAAAGGCGATTGAAGATGAGGAAACTCAGTCCGCAGATCTGGTGACGATGTATTGTCTGCCATAGTTTTCGTTGGGTAGAATTTTTTAAGCCAGGAAACATGACGAAAAAGCTGGGTTTCAAACTCGAGATCTTGAGATGCTAGCCGGACATGCTTCCAGTTGCATCACGAAGACAGACGATAAGGAAGGAGAAAATTTCTTACAGACCTATCCATTCCAATCCGTGGCGCATCATCTGTTTCAAGAAGCTAAACAATTACAACCTCGAACCACAAAAATTAGATCCCCCTTTCTTCCTTTACTTCATATGCCAACGATTAATTTATCTAGTGCTGCTAAACTATTGCCAACTACGCCTCGGTAATTTAAATAAGAGATTCACCGAAGAATTATTCTTTCTCCCGATTAGTGAAATTACTCGAATCAGCTGTAGCGTCTATCCTGATGTTAGTAAATTTGTACGGTGATTCTTCGAGCTTAGAATATTTTAGAAATATGTAATGCCATTAAGGAAGAGAAGAAATAAAGGAATGCATTTTAAAAATTATCGAATTTTGGAAAGATACTTTTTAGTACGAGTGGTAAATGAGGTACTTACTTTTAATATGCGCGCAGCAGATATTAAAGAACAACTCATATGCATAGAAATGAGTTAAAATGATCATTTTTCTGTACCAGACACTTTCTTTTAATATATATTCAATATTCGAGCTTTGTTCGAGTTAACGTAAAAGAGTGCAGAATGAATTACCACCCTTAATGCAATTTCGTGTTAAATTTAATGGAAGTTACTTCGTTTGCACACTGGGAATATTTTTCCTTCCTTTATTCCTCGGAAGCTTAATGGCAAGGAAAATTGAGTGGATTGAAAATAAGACAGAAAAGCCGCGCTTAATGCTGTCCGAATTAAGTTGGATTTCAAAGGCATAATTCTTTAAATAAAGTAGAACTGTAAATACATTGATCTAATAAAACCACAACCCCTTCGGATATTGAAAAAAATCCAAATAATTAAGTTCCTTTTTTTCCCATAAGTCAAATATATACCGTGTCTACAAAAGACATTATCCGGCCTTTATTTTCGCATTCATTAATCGTATATATGATGCAAAGATTCGTGTTTTTGGCATTGTTAAATTTGGAAAATGCATTTTGTAAATATTCAGAATTCTAATTTTTATACGTCTCACCGGTTCCTATACTTAAATTTAAGAAGATTTTGTACTCTAAGAACTAAAACACAAATTGCTTGACTTGAATAATACGTATAGTCAAAATTGTACGACATGTTTAATTTCAAAATATTCAGTTTTTAATGTTATATTCATTTTTCATTGAGAGATCGGTTATTGAATAAATTAGAATAAATCGTTAGTGATCTTTTTCCCCTTTAATACGATTTAATAATATTCTTTTGTGATACGGAGTCTTTATTTATAATTTTGTTACTCTTGGTATGCCGAAAGAATTTTCATACAAGTATTTATTTTTCAAAGTCTAAAAATTCATTATTAATATTTCCCCGAAGTTTTTTTTTTTTAATTTGGATTCATAATCTTGTAATAGTAAAAAAAAAATCGCTGAAATACAAATATTCTTAATTTTTTTTATTTAAGCAAATAATATTATTACGAGTTGAATAAGTGCCAGACTGAAATACTGTCAGTGATTTTTTAGAATACGAATTCTATAACATTCTGTGAATAAGATCTCCATTTTTAAATAAATATATATATATATTAATTAATGCTTTTCTCAACAATCAATAAATAGTCGTGACATAATCGCTTAACATTAGAAACTTTTCCTCAAATGATATTTGATTTTGAGCGAATGTAAACATTTCGCTCTTCAATTTGTGTTCGGCCCCTGAATATGATGCCCATCTTTAATATCAAATAGCTCAGTCAATTTTCGTGATACGGAAGTCAGTCTTTTAGTGTTTTTATTTTTTATAATGAGCACAGAATTTTCCTAGATATAAGTATGTAAAACGGAGGAAAGTACAAAAGTTAGCTTTTGTATTTATATACATAATCGTATTATTATACTATATGTATTATATTAATTTCGTATTATTATACATAATTAATTAAAAAAAATTAAAATGCGAAAGAGGAATCTTTGTGTCATTTAAAACATTTTTGCAATTATAAGTATGTAATTACAAGCAATAGTTGTAAAGGCCGGGTAAGGACTTTTGTTAACAAGGTGTTTATTTATGTATAATAAGATACAATTAGTATGCTTATACGCATGCATTGTAAAGGAATTTTGTTTTTTCGTTAAGCATACTTCATTGTGTGTTTAAAAATATTTCTGTTTCTCTAAGGAAACTATAAAGCTCACTTTTCCGACAAGCGCAAGTAACAAAATAGTATTCATTTGCCTACGCACATAATTAATATCGTATAAGATTTTTTTTAAAAAAAGAATTATTTATGTAGGAATTAAAAACTATGCATTTAATCTTGTTGTTAGTTTTACTGTACTAATAATTAGATAAAGAAAAACTTTTATTGTTTGCTTAAAATTAAATGCAAAAGCTGTTTATGTTTAAGTGAAATTAAAATTGTTGTTTCAAATGGCCGGGTACTTGCAACTTAATGCGTTCTTCTAGTAAGTTGATTTTCTAGCCCAAAAATTTGGATGAGTTTCAAGTTCTTTGTATTTAGCTATCTCATCATCGAGAACGTTGTCCAAAGTGCAGTACGAGAGCCAACCGATTTTACAGCTACAGGAATAAGGAAGTTCCTG